TACTGGGCTCCCGATAGCTTAGGAATGGGACAAGGATGATTTACCTCAGGCATTTGCGTTGACATAAGCCCTTTCAGCAGGACGAATGCTGCCTTTGCCACGGTCACATTGCTCGGTCCCTCACTGGAAGTGTCGCTGTACGACGACTCGTCAGTGCTGCTCATGCTGCTCATGATGGTACCTGGAAATGGGCAACAATAAGTCAGATTGTATTGCCGATATTAGGAACAACACAAGTGCAAATATGTGAACATATGACGATCCTTGAACTAGGTAGGACCTTCAAAACAGGTTGGAATGTACAAGGGAAAAGTGATACATGCATAATGTGTTACAACACTCACAGCCGTACACAAATTTTTTATTGAAAACACGAGACAACGACATGCACTAAGTTTTCCACAATGTTCTTTGCTAATACGGAAAAACGAACCTAACGATACAACAAACCGAATGAACTCAACATGCACATGGTGGATATCCGCAAACAGGGAAAAAACATGGATTGTGCTGATCATTGGGACTTGCTGGAGGACACAAAGCCCCATATAACTTTGATCCAGTTTAGTCGGCCCTCTTTAGATGTCATGCCTAGAAAACCCTGACGACGGAGCCTGTCTCTGCAAAGTTCCAATGCTTGCATGAATACTTCATCAGCCTCGCTAATACCATCTTGCCGCAGAATCTCTTGGACTTGGGCCAACTCCCAAGAATCGTTGTTACGACGGGCCTTCTGGGACCTAGCCTCTCTTAGAAATTGGCCTAGGTCTTCAATGCACTCTTCTACGGATGGAGTTTGGCTACTCTTCTTGCTGCGAGGACTGTTAACTGAGAATTCCCTATGGACTCTCTTCGAGGGCTGATGACTACTAGGTGGCATGATCGGCTCGTCCGACAAGGATGGAGGAGTGCGAGGGCTTCCATTACTGGGTGAGTTGTTAGGTCGATGGCCCCCCGCCGATACCAACTGGCCCCTGTCACGTGGGGTGCGTCCCAATATCGTGATCAGTTGCTCACAGCATTGGGGCCGTTTGAACTTGTTTGTAGCGGGTTGGCTACTTTCCTGCATGTGTTGCAGTGATGGTGAAGTTAGTACTGAGTTAGTAGGAACCTAAGTGCTACAAAAATTAAAAGAAGTGCGTGTAGTTAGTACCCCGGGGCTGGCGTCGTACCACTCGGGGTTAGCTGTAACCTCTCCAGTCAGCGGGTCACGGCCGAGCCCCGTATGGGTCTGGCCGTCGCGCTAGTTGAAGTAACAACGTTTCAGCTCGTTGTACTTGTTCTGGCACACTTTCTTGCTGTACCCAAGGTCTATGACTTGGTTGAAGTCATGAGTGATGTTGGTCCACCCTAGTGGGGTTGCGCCGTTGGTAGGGGTCCAGTGATAGAGCTCTTTCTGCTGGATGATTAGGTCAAGAAGCAGAGAGGTTGCTCTGTCATCCTAGACAGCACGGTCCTGGCTCATCTGATTCAAGGATCGACAAAGCTATTAGTAATGCAGCAGTCACAAAATCTGCTGGTATAGATGTACTAATTGATTCATAATGCGTTCTTGTATCATGGATAATACTAGTTGCCTCAAAGTGTAGGAAGCATACAGCAAACCAAAGAACTAAATAACTACAACACTAGTCCTATAAATGAATTATAGGAGTGAATTGGCACTGTTCTAATTGTCCACCACAGCCAACCCCTCAGAGAACATACAGAACAAAAAGGAGACAACAACAAAGGCAAGACACACAAAAAACACAGAGGAATCACAGATATGTGGCTTGTGTCAACAGAATGGAGGATGGAACTGCACAAAAGGCAGAACTTGCTGGAACGTGAAAACTGAGCATACATTCAATAAATGTCATGGTGAAAAGCAAGAGATGAAGGAAGCAAAATAACCACAGGATTGAGCATGGTGCGTAAGGAGCACCATCCAGTGTGACCGTAACTTGCCTTTTGTGGCCGTTTGCGGCGTTTTGAGCGGAGGTTGTAGTGGCTGCCACCAGTTGGAGAGCAAGACGAAGCCGACGACGCTGCCAGTTTGGGCAGCGCTGATCACAACCGGACGAAATGTCCCTTCTAAGTCTGCAGTTCAATCATAGAGGTCAATTGTAAGATTGAAAACCTAATATGAAACATTTAACATTGAAAGGGGTAAACAACTGAACATGTGTACTGTGTAACATAATCCCTTCGCTTTCCGACTCGAGTTATGTAGAGTACATGTGAATATCGAAGCAATGATAAATCAGGCAAAGATCATTGAATAATTGCGTCATACAACAGTCAAATAGACAACAGCGAAGATCGGGGGGCATTGTAAATATTGTGTTCAATTGCTATCGTAAATCAAATTCTTGGTATAGGTAAGCACATTTTGTAATCTACAAACCATTAGAAATGCCCTGTAAGTCATAAGTGACTAAAACGCAATGAAAGCAAACAGGAATCTTAGTAAAAGTTGGACCATGCAAGCAAAATGATTCCACAGCTAGTTGCATGAGAATCAAATGACACAAGTGCACCGAAGATATATATCTGAGTAACCTAGCATCTCTTCATGTACAGAAGACATTTAATAACAAATCTAGACAACTGAATGCTGAATGCTGAAACTCACGTACTGAAGACAAAGCAAAAAACATATGAACCAACTCACGTACTGAAGACAAAGCAAAAATTGTTCAAGAAAAACAAACCACTTGGATGAACCAACTGAATGCTGAATGCAATGAAAACCATGAGTTGTAACACTCCATACTTAGCATTCAATATACAACTATAGAAGAAACTCATTAAATCAGGTCCAGTTTGAAATATGATGAACATATGATGATATGAACAAACTTATATATGTTATCGCCTACTCATATAGCAAAATACCAAGAATATTGTTCACAAAAATGGCACTCCAATCAAATGGAATCCTATGGAATGCTGATAATGAATGAAGACATTAGTCCTAGCAGTCAACTAATATTTTGCAAGCACACAGTGACACAGGAGGCACAATACTGATTAGGAGTTTAAGACTACATTCCATAGAATACTTAGCAGGTACAAAAAAGCAAGGGGAAGAGATCAAACTTAGTGTTTGGTAATATTAGATCAAAAAGAGACATGACTACATGTTGGATCTCAGATCCGGTGGGGTCAAAGTGCGCGGCGTCGGGTGCTGGTGGTGGTGGGGGGGCTTACCGTGGTGGAAGGAGTCACCGTTGATGGAGGCGGGGTCCGGGGAGGAAGGCCGAGCCCACTGTCACCGAGGACGGGGAGAGTGAGGGAAACCCTAGCCGCGCGGAGCTCAACCTACAAGACGACCAGGTGAGGCTCAGAGGCGGCATGGTGAGAGGACGAAGGCGTGGGATCCGGGTTACCTCGCTGGCCGAAGTCGTCGTTGATGGAGGCGGGGTGGGGGAAGAGGACGACGACAGTTTCCCCGCAGCCCCGCCGGGGAGGACGGAGTACAGAGGCGGCCGAGCCCGGATCTAGGGGCCACCGACGACGGCCGTGGACGCGGCGAAGGCTACCACCCATACCAGCGCGGCGCGAAGGCGAGGAGCGGCCAAGCGTGAAACCCTAGCCACCGCGAGCGAGGTGAGGAATGGGAGAAAGTGACGGACGCGATGAGTTGGCAACGGATATAAGCCAGCCGTTCGGCTGGGCTGGCTGGTGCTGGGCTGCCGAACGGCTGAGCTGATAAGCCCAGCACCAGCGAGCCCAGCCAGCGTACCGAACAGGCGGACTTTTCCTGGGCAAAGGAATTCCTGAACAGTAACTTGACTCAGCTCCTAAGAAAAGTCACAAAGACTAGACTCTCGTGTTCGCTCGTCTGCCACACCTGTCGCTCTCGCGGGATTTGTATTTTCCATCGATGCGAGACAGTGACCTGTCGCGGGGCGTGGACATGGCACTAGCTTGTTCTTTTTCGTTCTTAAAATGAATACAGCTTCCGTACTCGAAAATAAAGTAGTCTCGAACAACGACACGGTCTGTAAAGTATAACTTTGACTTTTTATATTTATAAAAATATTTATAAAAAGTGATATATATATATTTATGAAAGTATTTTTTTAAGATTAGTTTATTTATATGGTTTTCACATCTACAAAATTAATAACTTAAAAGTTATTTAAGATTTATATTCCTGATGTTTGCTCAAGCCTTTAAAACAACTTCATTTTTTTAGTGGGAGTAGAGTATATATACACACCTAGTGTTCGCCTAAACGGATTAAACGGCCGTTTAAACGGTCAGTAAACGGTAAACGGTGGTAAACTATTTTATTTAGGAGGTAAACAGAAATTAAACGGTTGACCGTTTAAACGGTCAAAAAACGAAAAAAACGGCCTAAACAGAACGGAGATAAACAGCATTAAACGGGTTAAACAACTATTTAAACGGCCATTTAGGCGAATACGAGGTAAATCTAGTTTAGTTTTATATGGATAAATTTATATACTTAAGTTTATTATATTTATAAATGTGTACACTTGATATGTTACATGAATAAATATCTATATTTGGTTCTTTTCACATGCATAAATATATATACATATCAAAATAATTAATTTTTACTCGGATAAATATGTATAAATGATAAAATACTTGATTTTTTACATGCACATCTATAATTATATGTATTTTTTTTAAAATATATAAAACTGTTCAGACCGTTTAACTTCGTTTAAACACCGTGTAAACAGCATAAACGCTAAACGAAAAGCGACCGTAAAAAAACCGTTTACCGTTTAGGAAAACATTGTACACACCCTACGTGGAAGAGGGACATCGTGTCGTGTCGTGTCCCTGCCGCGTGTTCATCGGTCCAGTCCACACGCCGCACCCGCGCACGTGCAAGGCGCACACTGCACACCCCTCGCCGTCGCCTCCTGTAAATACGGCAGCCTCGCGCTCGAGCGAGGCAAATTGGCTCACGCGGCGCTGCTCCACTGGTCGTCCCTTCCCTCCAGGCCTCCAGCCTGCAGCTCCCGACCACACCGATGGCCGCCTCCTCGACTGCCATCGCGGTGCCCCCAGCCGGCCTGAAGGAGGACATCGCGGGGCTGTACGACGAGTCGTCGGGGGTCTGGGAGCGCATCTGCGGCGACCACCTGCACCACGGCTTCTACGAACCGGGCGATGCCGCGTCGGTGCCCGACGTCCGCCGCGCCCAGATACGCACCATCGACGAGGCGCTCGTCTTCGCCGCCGTCCCAGCTGCGTCCTCCACATCCGCAATTAATTAAGCTTTTGTCGATCTGTCCAGTGATCACCCGGTTATCTCTACCCGATTGGTTGATTCCGAGCCGGGGCGAACCGCGAACCCAAGCAAGCGGCCCAGCTAGCTTTTCTCTTATCTCTCTCTCTGAAATAAAAAAGAAGGAAAAATCACTGATGGTACGCGGCCTCAATTTGCTTTTGTTGCCTTGCTTTCTTTGTAGTTGTTTGCATGCTTTGTTTGTTTGTATCACCCTGGGACCTGGGCGGCCGCAGGTGTTCAGCGATGGTGTGCTTAGCTAGTTGACGAGAACTCACTCCGATTTTTCAAACTTACGGCGGCGGCGTTCGGCATCGCGTCCTCTATGTGGGCGCCATTCCGAGAGATTTCATCCATGTTTTTGGGACACCTTCACGAGTTGTTTTTTTTTTTCGGTTTGGCACAGCTTCACCAAAAGCTTCATGAGCTGTTTTTTCCCCTGTTTGGCACAGCTCCACCAATAGATTCATGAGCTGTTTTCTTGCCCAACAGGGAATTTCAAAACAGCTTCGTGGGTGAAGCTCCTGAAAACCTGCTGAAACATTAACAGAAATACTGCACATCAGGTGACTGATAACAGCCCGTCGCACACCCCGCTCCTTCGTCCTCCCACACCGCGACTTATCTCCCCACCTCTCTCTCTCTCTCTCTCTCTCTCTGGCAAACATCCTCCCAAGCGTCCAGCGAGCTCCTCCCCACGCCCGCGCCCCACTGCCTCCCCGCAACCCCATCCGCGCAGGCTTGGGGATCCAGCGGGTCCAGCTCCGGCGGCGGTAGGTTCAGCTCCGGCTGCGGCTCCGGTGAGGTAGGCGGCTTTCTCCTCCTCCTCCTCTTGGATCTGCTCATTAGGATTTCGGCGAGCTCTCCCTCTCGTCTTCCAAAACTCGGGCTTGTATAGAAGGGCCCAGCTAGGGGGAGGCAGGCTGGCCAGGCAGTGGGGAAGGAGGCGGGGGGGCTTAGGGGTCCCGCCGGCGGCGGTGGTGGCCGGGCCAGGGAGGGGAGGGGGCACCATGGTCGGAGGAAGGTTGCCGCTGCCGGAGATTGCCATGGCTGGAGGGGGAGGGGAAGGAGCCGGACACCGCAGGCTCTGGCGAACCCCAGCGCCTGCGGCAGGGTGGTGGGCGGCGGCGGGGTCGAGTACGAGGACGAGATTCCGGCCGCCGGCGAGGATGAAGAAGACTAGGCGGGTTGAGAGATTGAAGATGATTACTGAACATTGGATTAGGATCCAACGGATCTTGCCGTCGCCTGATGGATATGCAATGTGTCAGGCGACTGTGCCTGAGACACTCCCAAAAATTAATGGCTTTTCGATTATATCATCTCCAATCCAAGAGAATTTAGGGAGATTTAAATAATCCATTGCAACTTAATCCCACTCAATCCATTTTGATCCCCTACATTCCCATTAAGGTGGGGATAGGACCATAAAAATAGCTCCTCCTCCTAAATCTTCCACAGAACCTGCTACCAGAGTCAGAGCCGGAGTCATGCTAAATAGACCTTAAAAATTAGATTGCTAGGCTCTTACTGTTTTGTGGCCCAAGTGCCCTTAAAATTGTGAAGATGGTCCTGTAGGGGCGGAAATGGAACTGGTTGTATGGGTTTGCATACTAGTGGTCACCTGTGCGGCCTGAGAGTTCAGTGGGGCTGGAGCCATAGGTAGCGTTTGGTTGGGATTCAAGCTAGAGTAGGATGGACCCGTCTCTGATTTCTAGGACACAATGGCTCCATTTTCTATTTGGCTGACAAACGACGGGATCGATCCATTTTGTGTTTTGTTAAGGGACATAAAAGAGTGGGATGAGGCATCTGACACGTAGGACCCAGCTCTCAGTATCTATTCCTTTCCCGTGGCTTTCTTCTTCCCCCAGACTGCCCCACCCTCCGCTCCTGGTGTACGGCCCCATGCCCACCGCTCCTCGTAGCTCGCCCTATGAGCCAGATGTCACGTTCCACGCTCACCGGAGCTCGTATCCCCTACCCACGCCCGCCCAGTGGGGCTCACATCCCCCACCCATGTCCGCCCTCCAAATCTCGCCACCCCCGCCCGTCCTTACCACGGCTCCCCCCGCACCGAAACTCGTCCCGTGGCATGCCCGGCGACAGAGCTCGCCTCGCTTGTGCTACCCACCCGCTGCCAGAGCTCACCTCTGCTTCGCGTGCTCCTCTCCTTTGCATGGCCACACGCGGCAGGGCCGGCGGCGGAGCTCACATGCATGGCCGCCCGTCCCATCCTGCGCCACCGCTCTCCGTCCCGCTCACGCAAGTGGCGCCCCGCTCGTCGTTCTCATCTATCGTGCACCCGCGAAGACTCGTCCCAGATGGGACAACTCTGTCCGCCAAAAAATAAGGGACGGGAGTCACGACATCTAGAAGGAATATTTTATAGTGGGATGGGCCAGTCTCCAGCTTGCCTCTAAACCAAACACCACTACATGGTGGGATATCCCACGTGGGACATCCCTGTCCCTCAAACCAAATATGACGGATACGACCTATCGGACACTCATCCCTTTTTAACGGATTGCTTGCTTTACATAATGTAAACTATTACATGCCGTCGTTCCACAACTTTGACGGGATATCATGTTTATCTTCGCGTGCAGATGATCCAGAGAAGAAGCCCAAAACGATAGTTGATGTAGGATGTGGCATTGGAGGCAGCTCAAGATACCTGGCGAGAAAATACGGAGCACAGTGTACGGGCATCACGTTGAGCCGTGTTCAAGCTGAAAGAGGGAATGCTCTCACTGCCGCCCAGTGCTTCTCAGACAAGGTGTCCAAAACTACCGCTACCTTAATCGTGATTAAAGTACTGTTATTATTCAACCATTCATAGTAACCATGCTGATGCAGGTTTCCCTCCAAGTTGCTGATGCTCTAGACCAACCGTTTCCTGATGGGATGTTTGATCTTGTATGGTCCATGGAGAGTGGTGAGCACATGCCGGACAAAACGAAGGTAACCTATTTTACTCCGTCTTATAAAATAAGAAAGAAAGGCATTAGTATACAAAATATCTTAAGAAAGGAAGGCATTAGTATACAAAATATCTTTACCTACGGAACTTTTTATATTTTTACTGATGCTGGTCGTCAAAGAACCGCCACTATAAATATTTATTCTGGTGATTTTCTTAAGGAAATTGCTACTGTAAATTGATATACTAGCGGTTTTCTTAAGAAATCCGCCAGTCCAAATGATTTTGTAGAAATAGGAAAACGGGCCTAAAAGAATAGCAAAAAAAAAAAAAAATTTGTCTGAAGAGGCACACACTAGCCAGCCACACACGGTTCTTTGCATTTTTTATTTTCACGATCTCATGCCTCACGCATTATGCTCTTACCCAAACAGAAATATTCTCTTAGTATTCTCCGCCAGATTTTAAATTGGACATTATATTTGAAACCCTAAACGGATTCAAATGAAAAGTTTGAACTACAAAGTTTCAGATCTAGTCCACATCTACATCTTTGCTTTTGATCATTTTTCCATCCAAGGTCATTTCAGAAATTTAAAAATAATTAATCTGAAAACATAATTTTCAAGTCCTAAATGATTTTAAATGAAAAGTAGTCAACAAGAAAGTTTTTTAAATACTTACGGACCATTTTCCATCCGATACCATTTCAATAATTTTAGAAAACCAATTTTAAATTAGTTGTTGTGGCGCTAGGTTAAGAAAGTTGTGATGATAAATATATTTTCACTGGCTTTTTCCTTGTCTACCGTCAGTAGAAATCGTATTTGTACAGATGGTAGGCCTAAGGAAACAGCCACTAAAAATGAATTCACACTTTCAGTCCATAGCTATGGGCCCACAAATTTATTTCTGTTGGTGCCAATACATTATAAACCGTAAGTGAAAAAGTCGCAAGCGTCAGCAAAAAACGATTTTGTACTAGTGGGCTTGGAACAGAAAATTTGGAGGTCCGTGTTGTAAAATTTCATAATAGCACGAGTCGTCCTGCCGAAAACCGCTGCTGCGCCATCAATTCTCAAGACCTAGTAGAGGCGTGCTTTGGCACGCCAGCTTGCCCATGCGTAGCTCTTTTTTCGGCCATGCGCTGGCCAATTCCCGGGCAGCTAAATCGGCGCCAAGATTTGGCCGGCCCATGTCTTTGGCAGTGCAGAAGGTGACAACAACCAAATATGATTTCCAACACCAACATATATAGTTAAATTCTTTTCTCTACACACACGTTGACTTAACAAGTTATGTGTTTGCCTTGAACTCTTACCATTCCAGAAAATGCGCCCAAAATTTCCTTACTCATCGCAGCGAAACAGCATATTGTTTGAACTCTTACCATGATCATGTATTACTTTGTTAGTGCGTTAACTGCATAATGTTTGAACTCGTACCTTACTCGTGTATTAGTTTGTTAGTGAGCTAGCGCGCGTGGCGGCTCCCGGAGGGACAATAATCATCGTGACATGCTGCCATAGGAACCTCGAGCCGTCTGAAAACTCCCTGAAACCGGATGAACTGAGCCTCCTGAAGAGGATATGCAATGCATACTGCCTCGCGGATTGGTGTTCACCTGCAGACTATGTCAACGTTGCCAAGTCACTGTCTCTCGAGGTAATTAAAATAAAAAGCTGTTTCTGTTCTGAAAAATTATGAATGAATTTGAAAGACCGTGCTATATTTACGATGCATGCAAATCTGTCTCGATCAATATCTTGAAGATAATAAGATCAAATTCTTGATGTACCTACTACTAGGGAACCACGCCAATTTGGAAATTTCTTTGCATGATGTGATTTCATAGAAAGAAATCTTTTTTGTTGTTGCATGTTGTGTCAGGATATCAGGACAGCTGACTGGTCGGAGAACGTAGCCCCGTTTTGGCCCGCTGTGATAAAACTATCACTGTCATGGAAGGGCCTGACCTCTGCGTTAACATGTGGTATATATATGCAACTTACTCCTCTCATCTTCAATAGCTCTGTTTGCTGAACATGGACTGCACCAAAAATCTTGAGTGTATTGGGATGTGAATTACTTTGTTGGCATTCGTTTTTGCTTCTGTCTGAAGGATGGAACACAATCAGAGGGGCGATGGGGATACTGCTGCTGATCCAAGGCTACAGGAAGGGGCTCATCAAATTCACCATCATCACCTGTCGCCAGCCTAGAGCAGCTTAGGAGGAGGGTTGCTGTCGCAGCGCTTCTGTTCAATTCAATAACGTACATTCTTGGCTTGCTGAAACTGAAACCACCCTGTAGCCGTCTACTTATTGTGTAAGAAAATAGACAGAGGTCTAGGACTTGTGTACCATGGCTTGTGTCTAATATTTTCTATCACTGCTCCAGATATTCCAATTTGCATGTCGTTACCCAAAGTGCCACCACCCAATATGGGGATCCTGTGTGGGAAACTGACACCACAGGCTCTGCAAGCTACTACACAAATTATTTCCAGATGTGTCACCATTTTTTAGTCGCCGGAAAAAGAACTGCATATAGAGACCCTTCCAGGGCGCATAACTTGTCTTACCAGCTGAATACAGCCGCCTTTGAAAATAGCCTCTATTACTAAAGGCGGTTAAATACAACACAATTTACCTCCGGAGATGAGGTCTTGGACATGTTTACCATGGCTTATGTATGCCAAATATTTTCTATCACTGGTCCCGATACTCCAATTTGCATGTCGTTGCCAAATTGCCATCTCCCAGTTGGCCGGGCCTCCTACGAAAGTGACACGATAGGCTCTACATTACACACTATTAGACAAATTATTTGCAAACGTGTCACGATTCACCAGATCAAGCAGGGTCTGCACACCCGGGCGAGTGCAGCCAGACTGCACCCAATTTTTTCCGTTCACGAATAAAAGAGATTTTACGAGCAGTTCTAGTCGCAGCCTAAACAACAAGTCAACCCTGATACTACAGTTTTGATTTACATTTTGATATCGTCACTTGATCGGCTGCTAACAGCCTACATGATTGCTCCCGTAAGCTGCAGCGACGTCGAGGAAGACGGTTAAAGAGACAAATCCCTGTGTGGCCCTGAAAAAGAAGATCGACCCATATGTACTACCTAAAAGTTCATTGCAACTTCTATACTAGTTTTTGAATTTTTCTTTCCCTGTTACCACTTCCGTTAAGCAGGTGTTACCTTCTAGGTTGGCACCGCTAGTTACCGAGTGACACACAGAGAATTGTTTAAAAAACCAAACGATACATGCATGTAGGAATCTTATACCAAATGAAATTGTCTAAAGAACCAAACAACAGATGCATGTTGGGAATTGTTTAAAAAACAAAACGATACATCCTTGTGAGTTGAATATTTAGGCTTCTAAACAATGTTGCTAAGGTACTCATCAAGTCCTAACAATCATGCTGCTTCAAGTCCACGCAGCTCTTGGAGAAGAGAGGGGCAAGTGCTTGCCAGATATTGAAAGTCTTCCCCTACCACAAGCTGCTTGTAATTGGCCGAGGACTTGAGGACCTTGAAGCACGCCTCCTTGAGCTGATGGCAACCGTGCTGCTCCGCGAGCACGAGCGTAGTCACCACTGCACTCGCGTGGACAAAGCTGCAGAGAACATACTCGCAGATCGATTTTAGCCTCTCGATGCCGTACCGGTCAGCGGCCACGAGCAGATGCTGAGCCATCGCCGTCCTGTCGCCGTCGTCGATGTCCGGCAACGAGTCGGTGTAGATGAAGTGGAGCATGGCGCTGAACACCCTCGGTTCGATGCCATGGATGCTTACACTCGCCGCGACCTTCTCCCTGTGTTGTCCGCCGAAGAACTCGGCCTTGAACACCGGCGACCGCGCGGCGAGCACGTTCTTGTGCGCGCGGAACGACTCGCCGCCTACCTCCAGCGTCACGTCCGCCCCGTCCCCGCTGGCGAGGAGGTCGCCGAGTTGCCTGCGCAGGTCCGGCGGCGGCCAAGCACCTGCCGACAGGACTGTCACGTCCAGAACTCATCGTCTTTGACGTAGGACGACTCGAATTCCTTCCTCTCCATGAACCGTGCGTGGCAACATGACTGGCCTATTCTCGAGAAGGTCCATACACCACATGGTACGGTGAAAGATGGCACTGGACCTCCGGCCACGTCGAGCAGGCTGAACGTAGTCCGTACCATGACGGCCTCTCTCCCGGTCCCGGCACAACGATCTTCAAGACGTAGGGCGAAAGAGATGCAGTCGGCGGTGTCCTCGGTGAGACCGTCGGGGAAGTATGCGATGCACCAGGTGTGCCCTCCGACGACGAACGGACATGATTTCAGGCGCCTGGCGACGCCGAGACCATTGATTTCGGAGTAGCCCTCGACCTTGAGCACGTGCCACCCGGTCGCTGTCTCGGTGAGCATGGTCGACGACGCGCTACCGTCCTCGTCGTCGTCGTTGCGGAGCTTGGTACGACGACGAGACCTCGACATTGTGGCTGGAGCTTGGTACGACGTTGTCCTGGCCACTTACGTTTATAGGTGCAGTACATATATACTACTGCATGCGATGCACAAATTGAAAGCCACGGAGGGCCCGGCAACGTTTTTATTTATATACGGATGTGCGGGTCGTGTTCGTATTCCTCTGCCGAATAGGACACATCTCGTCATATTCTTGGCATGCATACACGGCCGTGTTTTGCCGGGACAACTTACCCTTTCTATATTTACTAGTAAATATGGCCGTGCATTGCGACGGTCCAATGTTAAACATTAGTGTCCACGTAATCTTTAATTTCGCCTCAGTTGATCTCTCCCTAAAATCTATACTTATCCTCTTGTTTGCTCATCATCAGTAGTTTCAGCTCCAATCTACTGATATATACTGACCCTATTGTTTGCTCACCAGTAGTTACAATTCCAATCTACTTCTATATTCCTAAGTGCTAGCCATCTCCGCTAGCCTCAACAACCAATTACCCACAGCAGTACTCTGAGTCAGCGTTGATTGTGTGAGCATATATGTATATGTCGAGATCATATGAGGAAATATCTGAATGTTGTATATGTTGCAATTGTATATATCAGATGTTTTATTTATTTCAGACGTATGTTGCGTTTAAATGTTTCATGTTGCAAGTGTTTGATGTTGTTCGGAAAGTCATAGGGCGCGGTGAGTGATGGGTGCTCGGACGGAGCAGGGTGTGCGTGCAGGGCGGGGCAACGGACGTGGGCGGGCTGCGTGGGCGATTGACGGGGGCGGGCTGCTCGAAAGCTCCGTTGCTTCTTACATGCCGGAGAGCCGTCCGATGCTAGCGTCCCAGAACGGACGTATGGGCGCCAGGAGCTCCGAAAAGAAAAACACAATTATATTCAACTACGACCACAACTGGAATCCTACTTGATGTCCAAACTCCAATCAGGTTGAGGAATACGACTCGCAGACTCTGTGCAATCCATATATGTACATAAATTGCCTGCCCTTCCGGCTGTCTAGACTCGTACTGTGATCCGTTCGTATCGCTGCAGTACACCTTCGGCGTATACCACATGGCCGGCCAGCGGCAACCCGTCGGGCACGCCGGAACGTCGACCTCCTGGCATCGGCCGGTGTCCACCGCCGACGCTGACACCTACGGCAGCTCGTCGACCCTGTCGGCCGAGACGGCGACTGGTTCATACGTGCTCACGGTCGCGGACTACTCCGGTGACAAGGAACTCGACGCCGCCGGTTGGGCCCTCCCGTCAAATAAGTTCACCGCCGGAGGGTGCTCCTGGCGCATCACGTACTCCCATGACCATGAGGATTGGATACGCTTCTGGCTCTGTCTTGAAGAACCGCCCGTCGCCGGTGGCACAGATCTCGATGATGCCATGGTCCGAACCATGTACAGCTTGGTTGACCAGGCCGGGCAGCCAGTGCCGTCTTCATTAAGGAAAGAAACTGAACGTGCCTTGTCAACCATGAAATCCATGCGCTACACGCAGTTCATGAAAAGGAAGAGATTCGAGTCCTACTATCTGAAAGACAATAGATTCAGCGTGAGATGCAATGTCACGCTGGTCAGAAGGACGTGCAGACTGTCCGGAGTAATGGCGCCGCCGGACCTGCGCCGGCATCTTGGGGAACTCCTCGCCAGCGGGGTTGGGGCGGACGTGACGCTCGAGGTGGGTGGGGAGGCGTTTGCCGCGCACTCGAGCGTGCTCGCCGCGCGGTCGGCGGTGTTCCAGGCGGAGCTGTTCGGCGGACCGCCAGACAAGGAGGATGCGTCAGTAACGACGAGGCACGTCAGGATCCATGACATTGAGCCGAGCGTGTTCAGGGCTCTGCTCCACTTCATCTATACCGACTCGTTGCCTGAGATCGACGCCGGCGACGAGACAGTGATGGCTCGGCGTCTGCTCGTGGCGGCACAGAGGTATGGACTGGAGGGGCTTAAATGGATATGCGAGGATGTTCTCTGCACCTTATGTCCTCGGAGAGCTGCAAAGCAGTTGTCCCTCTGTTCTTGACCAGCTGCATGCAACCTTTGTGACCTAATGAAAACATGGACTTATGGTGGCTGATAGTGAAAAGACTTCTCCTTTTTTTTCTTTTTTTCACATCATTACATGATATTTGTGTTGCGTTACTAACAGTTATGATTTGCCCATCAAGTTAATCGACTATCGGAAATATATGTATCACAAAGACTAGCGCCCGGACGTCCGAACGTGTAGACGGCTGCGCCTGCTCCGCCCTAGTCTCTTGGATTCATGAGCCGTGCCAGCTCCGCTTCCCGCACCGGTGTTCAGACTGCTCCGATGCCCACGCTGCCCGGATGACTCGGCCCTCTTCCACACCAGTGCCTCGCCTGCCTCTTCCACACCGCTTCACCCTCACCTCTTCCACGCCACTCGGATGACTCCCCCATCTCTTCCACACCAGCACTGTGAGGCCTATGTCTCCTCCCCACATCAACACCGCTATGGCTCCGGCTCTAGCTCTCTCTTCCTCGCTCAACAACCTTACATCCAGATCTACTTTTTGATATGTCACGGGGGCCTGATCTTCACGACGTAGGATGATCACCAGATAACTAGCTTCAAAGAAGCCAAGATAACTTGCTGCAAGCAGTGATAACTAGTGCAAGATTATGGCACCTGTGGCCATCAATGATCACCATCACTACTTTATCTTGCACCTTCGCTCTGGTTTGAAAAAGATTATGTCGCTGTCCCATTTCAGCTTCTTTCATTCAAACAATCAAGATTTGTGCCACCACAAGAGCAGCACCATGCTCAAATTCACATCCAGTATGTTCCTCATCTTCATGGGCTTCATCAACATACTCTTCATCAACTTCCTCTTCACTAGCTGAATCATATTCTCCATTGTCATTCACAATGATCACACGATTATTTGGACATTCCTTGATTACATGCCCACGGCCTCCACACTTGAAGCACTGAATCCCACTACTCTTAGATGTAGAACCAATTCAAGTAGTGGTGGATGCTACTGGTTTAGAACTCATGCTTGGGACAGCAACATTCTTCCCACTAAAAACACCTTGAACATTGGAGCGCAGGCCTCCACTTGAGCTTTTCACCATTGAGGGTGCAGCAGTGAACTTGGAGATTGACTTGCTTCCTCCTGACATAGTCCTTGCACCATATGACAAGGACTTGCTACTCTTAGCATCATGCTACAGTTAGTGTTCAGCTTTGGTTGCTTGATGTACCAAATCAATGAGATGATGGTACGGCTGAAACTCAACAATGCGCTGGATATTGCGATGTAACCCAGCCATGAAACGTGCAATAGTTTGCTCTTCATCTTCATACACATTGGCTCTAATTGTAGCCTTCTCCATCTCCTTATAATACTCCTCAACAAAAAAACTTCCTTGCTTCAGATTATGCAATTTGTCAAAAAGATCACGCCGATAGTGCTTCGGCACAAAACGAGTTCTCATTTCTCTCTTCATTTCTTCCCAAGTGGCAATAGGATTTTCTCCATCTTCTTTATGATCACGAAGAAGTTGCTCCCACCATATCAGAGCATATCCTTCAAACTCCAGAGATGCCATTGCCAACTTCTTCTCCTCTGCATAATTATGTAGGCGAAGGATCTTGTCCACCTTCAACTCCTAAGTGAAATAAGCTTCAGGATGAGACCCTCCATCAAATTTTGGCATGGTAAACTTCAGTTTTCCAAACCTCTCCTCATTGTTGCCTACTCTACGATGTCAGCGACCAAAACAATATTGAGAATGATTATCATCATCCTCATCTTCAGATTCATCATTGTCATCATTTCTTCGACCTTGACCTCTTCCTCTACCATATGCAGCACCTCGGTTCCTCTTTTCTTGTTCTCTTGCTCTTCTAGAAGCAGCTCTTCCATCACTATCTTCTCCATCTTCACCATGGTTGCCTGCACCATCATGAGGTTGGCGACGTCCTCTGATTTCAGCCATAAATGCCTGAAGATCTGTGTGAAGTGATCTCGCTTATCTTCCATGCTTTGCTTTAGTTCATTGAATTGTGCCATAGTAACACAATCTTCTATATCAGCTCCACCCATCTTCCTATAAGGTTAGCTAAATACGAACAATAGGTATTTGTGGAATGGAAAATTTTGGTAGCTCTCTCAACCTCACCTCTCTTACCAACCAAAGCTCTTATGAATTTTTGGCGGGGTACATGAAAGCAAAGTGTGTGGTGGTAACTGAAAGTGATGGCGAGGCGAATACAAGACCAGAGTACCGATTACGACGGCTTCTATGTGGAGCTCGGTGGGGAGTGATGCACAAGGAATGAAATCTGAATTCTTCTTGATGTAAAGTTAAATAACAATCCAAACTAGAAGTTCCTTGTCTAGTGCTGACCAAAAGATATGAATGAGATGTAAATCGATCGCACGCGCGCAAAAAAATTTCAGAGTTAATGCAAACAAGTAGTATGATTAGGCTGCAAATGTTACGATCAGACCCAACCAAAATTTTGCGCCAACAAAAATAGCAAAATTGGTTGCACAACCTGATGTGAAAAAGTTTCAGCACTTGTGCACATAAACCAACTGATCTTTCAAATTTTCTTTCTCAACTTTTCTCAATTTTTTTTTCACTTTTCTTTCTTCTTCTTTTTTTTGACACACTTTTTTTATATATAGAACTAAACACAAGGATCAGATATAACATGTGCACACTTATGATAGAAACAAAAACACAACCAGTAGCTATAACTTGATAGGATCAAAGTCACGCGAAGGATGATATAGTCAATAGATTTATTTTTGTGGGGATTTTCATATATAAATATAAAAGAGGATCCAAGGAAACGCAAAGGATAATGATCAGCAACTAATATAAAACAAAGACTCTAATGGACTGAAACTTAACAAAACTCACTAAAATAACAGATTGAAACAAAGGGCTAAAGCAATATATTTTTCAGTCTTTTTGGTGGATAGGACGAAATAAAAATATATATGTGGCTAAGGGTAAAGAATCCTACCGTGACAACTGAGGCTTTGATACCTGATGATACGTCATGGGGTTTCGATCTTCACGACGTAGGATGACCAGATAACTAGCTTCAAAGAAGCAAAGATAACTTGCTACAAGCAATGATAACTAGTGCAACCTGACAAATAAAACTCGAAGCCATCCACCGTCTTTAACCAGCAACCTGAATTGAGGATTCGCCCAACCACACTCTCAAGGAACCAACCAACACAGCCTACAATCAATCAAGGAGTACCTTGAAGGGTGTAGGAGCACCAATTGGAAGCGGATGAAGCCGCAGCTTCTGTAATCTCGTGAAGGAAATCACAGGAGCAAAGGGGTAGAGATCACTCTCAATATTTGTTAGCACACAGCTGAACAAAGGGGTTCTATATTTGGATTATCAAAAGTATGAGATTGCTATGAGGCAAGGGGGTATTTATACTAGGAACAACCCTCCTAGATAGGTGAAAACCCAAAATGAAAAAGATAAGACAGACTATGTGAAAGGAGTTCCACGAAATGAATTCCTAGAGAGTTCCCGCGTGGCTGTTGGTCTTCTGCGCAGTCTTTAGTATTTTGACAATAACTCCACCTTAGAAATTTCAATTGATGTGCTGTCTGTTGCACTGGAAAGTTAACTTGATAAGCTTTCACACCATGTGCATCATGCACCACGAAATATTGTAGAATGGTATAGGTTTGCACGGGAACTTGAACATTAGACAGACTGTTGACGTGCTGACCAGTTTTCACTAATCCTGTCGAATCTCAAAATTGGAAAATCCAAATTAGTTGAGACCACCCTAGATTGAAACAAGACTTGACAAGCTTTCCAACAAGTCCTCATGGGCCTTCATAGCTTTTGAGAATAAAAAATTATGACTGATTCTTCTTGATGGTTCTGTCATGCTGAGCTGGCCCGGGAGTGTCTCTTCTATGTACGTAATCCTCTCTTGGCGTGTCCTTGTCATCGTCTTTGATGAACCTAAGCAATAGCAATGTGCACGACTTAGGCAGTATATAATTCTCATTAATATTAAAATAAATTTCACAAAGTAGTGCATTCACCTCTTATTGTAGCTTCTTTGCTCGACTACGTGTAATCGGTCCATCAATGACTTGGGCCGGTGTTGATGTAAGTGATACTTGAGTTGGTGTAGCTTGAATTGGTGGTTGTAACATGTTGGTCATATCACTTTCGCGACACTCAAATGAAACAGTTGTAACATACGTCTGAAACAGATGAAACATTTGGAACAAACATTTATTAGATAGCCATTGCAACATATGCAATATCCAGATAAAACACTTGCAACATGTGTTTGAAACAGATGAAACATTTTGAACAAACTCTTGCAACATGCATGTTTAACCATTGCAACATGTGCAACATCCAAAAAGTACTATTGCAACATCCATATGAAATATAAAAAACATACCTTTGAAACATCAGAAACAATTCAAACATGCTTTTTGCAACATAGGGAAAGCCCGTGCGGTCAATTCCAGGCTTTGGGGTGGGAGCCAGCGGTGAGCGGCGGCGTGTGATCGCCACCAGCACCAGCACCAGCGGCGGCGCGCGAGCAGCACTAGCACCGGCCTTGGCTCAGCTGGGCTATGCGTGCGACAGGAGGGAGGAAGGGAGCGAAGGCGGAGGGAGGCGGGGGCGCGCGGCGCGCGATGCGGACGTACAGGCGACGCGGGTTTAGGCATGCGGTGCACAGAGCAGGTGAGCAGCGCGGGTGGGACGGGATGAAGGACGCCCGTGGCGCATCATTATGTGATATGTATCTAGTGTTTTGAGTCGTTTATAAGATCTCTACTATATACAAAACTATCATCAATTATGTTTTTTTGGAGGACTTCCGATATCTGGGTACGAGCCAAAAAAATTAAGGCGTATCGTGTTTGGACTCTACACTAGCTTATATTGTGTGTGTATATATATTTACGCTCCTTAATTCGTTTCAACCTATTTTACAAAGAGTTCTCCCCAGTTTCTCCGTCAACGGCGGCAGCATGCCACCTCCGTCGAGCCTACAACCTGGTCGCAAGTTTTCAAGATGGTACGCTACTCCCAAACCAAGGGAGTGCTCGGCGTCCGCAAGAGCATCAAGTCCATCGCATTCAGTGTTGGAGGCCATGGCTGGTGCGTCGAATACTATCCCGATGGCTACAAGGTACTAAATAGCATTGTAGCGACCGCTATAGCAGCCGTTATTTGACGTAGCAAGCCGCTATAGTGGCCGTTATTTGACTTAGCAATCCGCTATAGCGGCCCATGTCCAAACCATAACTAGTTCATTCTTAATTTAAGGTATATATCTGATGGAGAACCACCTCTTCAAATACAATTAAATATCTATTAACACTATTTAAGTTATATGTTTATTAGTCTTTCATTGATTTTGTGTCTAGTTGATTTCTTAATACATAAGAAAGTCATTTGTTAAATTATACATATACCTAAATTATATGAGATTATTAGACCTGCTACTGGAACTCAGCGTCCTTAATAGTGCCCGCTATGCGAAATCCATGATGTGGACCTCAATCCACTCCAGACCCGCTATTCGCGCCAACTGGATATGCCTCCACCTCCGCCATGGCAATGCTGGTGAGAACACCGACTGGATACAACCTTCATAGGATGTTATCATACACTACTATAGAATTGGACATCACTGCCAGCCTCATCACTGCCAGATTTGTGAGAACCGGCAGAGATGTACCTTCATTGCCGGTTCTGAGCTTGAAAATAAGAAAATGATTGGGGCTGGGCTAAAACCGACAGTGAAGGACCACATCACTGTCGGTTTGTGGCTTGCAGACAGTGAGTTGGCGTCCACTTATCACTGCCGGTTCTAACCAAGAGCCGATAGTGATTTGGTGCTATCATTGTCGGTTCTAGTCAAGAACCGACGGTAATAAAATGGTAGTACAAAAAGCTGGTGCCGTCCTCCTCTCTTTCATCCCGATCACAGAGGCATGCGTTTGGGCCGCTCCCTCCATTGTTATGGCTACTCTTCACCATAAAGCTAGCTCTTGGATTTGGAAGAATGGGTTGATCTTTTTGCTTTAAGGTTAGGAACAAGCATCCACTCTTTTTTGCTTCAATATTTTTTGTGCAGAGATGGATCGAGAGTGGATGCATCTGTCCCGAACAGATAAGCGGTACATGCATGGCGTCAGCCAGTTTATCACCAATGCCAAAGCCCATGCTGGGAATGGGAACCCTGTCTTCCATAGGGTCTTATGTGCCCTAGGGGTCAATTTTTTGTGGAGGTGGATGCAAAATTCTAGTGTGTTCAACATGTAATTGGGCCTCTTTTGTCCCGTTTAGCATAAAGAAAAATATATTAATAAATAAAATGATCAGAAAAACCTAAGATCTTGTGTGGGGCCATAATTTGGGTGTACATGCCTGCAAAAAAAATTCAACCATTTGGACATAGGCGGTACATAACTGTCGGTGTTTCGAGTAAACACCAACTAGTAAATTTTTAATATTGCATGTCTGGCTCGGATGGTTTGCTAAGAGGACACGAGGTTTATATTAGTTCAGGTAGAATGTCCCTACGTCTAGTTCGTTGCTGCTGCTCGTGTTACAAGCACTAAAAAGATCATAGTAGGGGTTACAAACAGTCGAGAGAGGGATATGTCCTAAGTCTCTGGTGGAAAGGATGAACGGGTGCCGAGAGCTCGGTCGCAATTCAGCTGTGTGTTCGGGGTTCGAGTGTGATGTGTTGCGATGCTCGTGTTTTCGATCCCCTTTAGTGGGGTGCCCTGCTTTCCCTTTATAGGCCAAGGGAAAGCACGGGTTACAGTGGGTGAAGAGAGGAGAACGAGAGGGAGAGGAAGTCCTTCAAGATCACGAGCCTTTCTTTTCCTTTGTGCGGGTCCCGCGGACACTACAAATGGTGATAGGGACGGCTCCACGCCGGGCGCCTGTCCGCCAATGATGCCACGCCCTAGCGTTGTCAGCGGGTCATGACGTCCCACTTCGCCCCGGCGGGCAGCGCGGTGAACCAGCGTGCGGATCAGCGGCCGTACAGGAAGTAGGCAGCATAGTGACCACATGTCTGCCACTGTGGGCGATGTGAGTTCCTTGAAATGATATGTCATGGGCGTGGGTCGTGATGAGACGTGACCGCTCCCTGCACAATGTCAGAAGTTTGACATTGGGTTGTACTTTCTGACCCATATTGGTTGGCGGCAGTATGGGTCTCCGTCGGGCAAGGCGGAGCGCTCCCCTGATGTCGGGTGAGGCGGAGCTGGTCTTCAGATATCGGGCGAGGCGGAGTTTGCCCTCAGGGGTCGAGCAAGGTGGAGCCAGCCCTCGGACACCAGGCGATGTGGAGCTCGCCCTCAGTCATCGGCAAGGCGGTGCCAGCCTTTAGACGACGGGCGAGGCAGAGTCCCTCCCTCAAGGGTTGGGCGAGGCGGAGCCATCCCTGGGACGTCGGGCGAGGCAGAGCCCGCCCTCAGTCATCGGGTGAGGTGGAGCCAGCCTTCAGACAACGGGCGAGACGGAGTGCACCCTCAGGGGTTGGGTGAGGCGGAGCCCTCCCTCAGACATCGGGTGAGGCGAAGCGTGCCCTCAGGAATCGGGCGAGGCGGAGCCCGCCCTTAGACGTCGAGCGAGGCAGAGCGCACCCTCATTCGTCGGGCGAGGCAGAGGGCGCCCTCAGGGGTCAGGGGAGGCGGAGCCAGCCCTCGGATATCGGGCGAGGCGGAGCCCGCCCTCAGATGTCGGGTGAGGTGGAGCCTATGGCTAGAGGTCAGTCGAGGCGGAGCCTGCGTACCTAGGGGTCAGTTGGAGCTGTAGTCGCGCCCTTGACTACCTAGAGGAATTAATGTTTAATGACCATTAGCCCCTGCTCTTTGGGTACCATAGTATTGGTCCCCGATAGTAGCCCTCGAGCCTTTGGAGGAGTAGAATACTCCTTCAGAGGATTTTTTGAACGGGAGGACTCTGAGGGCCTTGGCCTTCTTTTGTCACCCATGGCGTGGCCCAGGGACGGTGATTCCCTTTCGTCGAGATCGAACTCTTTGTGGGTATGGCTGTGAGCTTGGTGGAATGGAAAAGGTCTTTCCTGATTGGGGCCCCGATGTCCCGTTTGTGGGGATCTAGCGAGGGTCAGCTGGTGACCGACTCTAGTTTCTCAGCGGTCAATCCATATAGTTCTCGGGTCTGTTCGACCTGTCCCCAGGTCTCTCTGCCTTTCTTCAAGGAAAAAACCATGGATCGTATATGGCCGAGACTCGAACGTGGGCCAGGATGCCCGCAGCGCTTGTGTGCTTGGGTGCTGGTAGCTAGCGGGCCCATCCCTTTCTACTTCCTTACTTTGAAGGTGCTTAGAGCTGTTGTTGAACCCGTTGATGGGCCTACCTTCGACCTCCTGGGCCCAGACAAGCCGTAGAGACGTTTTTAGATCTGTTTCCCTTTTATCTATGGCGGTTCATGATCCATTCAGGAAGGCAAAACATTCGGCGAGTTTTCCGAGGGGAACGGGCAGAGATTGCGTGCGCACGTCCCGTGTCAAGACGTTGTGGCGGATCATGGCAGGCATGGAAATCTAGGAGGACGGTTGGTTTCCTCGCGCCCGTCGCCCTTATAAAACCAAAGGGTTTGCCCCCCGGGTTCCATACCTTGCCTTCTTGCCTTCGTATTCGCAACCACCACCGCCAATCGCCTAGGCTTTCTGCATCCATGTCCCCACTGCTCTCGAGCTCGCATCCACCCACCCCCATCTTCCAATGGATTCGTGGTGCCGCTCTGACATCACCTTCCAGCACATGGAGGGCCTCATCCTTCATGGCCTTCTCCGCGCGCGGACCTCGGCCGAGGAGTGGCTGCTGCCCGGCGAGGAGGATGTGCCATCGCCGCCCAACAGCTACATGGTGTCGTTCGCGCACTACCATGAGCGCGGGTTCGCTACCCCCGCCCACAGATTTCTTCGGGGGCTGCTGCACTACTACAAGATCGAGTTACAGCACCTCAATCCCAACAGGATCCAGCACATGGCGGCGTTCGTCGCCCTGTGTGACGGATTCCTAGGGATCAACCCTCACTTTGATCTTTGGCGGTACTTCTTTGCCATCACCCTCTAGAAGAAGAGGGAGAAAAGCGGTAGCCAGGAGCTGCACATGCTGATGGGCTGCACCGGCATCCAGCTCTAGAACAATCGGGTCGGCGAGTACCCGCCAATGTGGCTGTCAATGTCCAACAATGGGTGGCACTCGCAGTGGTTCTACCTCAAGAACGACTCCGCCGCCACCCTGCCGGAGTTCACCAGGCGCCTGATCGAAGAGGCCCCGGAGTCATGGAGGAAGTGGGGTTTCTCGGAGACGAACAAGAAGAGGATCCAAGACCATATTTCCGCCATCCACATCCTCAAGGAGAACGGCTTGAAGGGGTCGGGCGTCATCGGCGCCTACCACGCGAAGAGGGTGGCGCCATTGATGATGCACTATAACACAACATACTTTTGCCGACACTTTCTATTGTAGGCAAAGGGCACCTTTGCCGACAGATAACCTCCCACGAAAAGTTTTGTCGATAGTTTAGAAACAGTCGCGCTAGAAGCCATCGGCGAAACTTTTGCCGACAGTTAACAGAATCCCCGACACTTTATGTGTAGGCAAACGGTCTACCTACGCCGACAGTTGAAACCTTTGCCGACAGTTAACCCTTTGCCGGCAGTTAAGACCTACGCCAACAGTTAAGACTTTGCCGACAGTTTGTATGTTGGCCAAACCATTTCCAAGGTATTTTACAAACCATACCCTACCCAAAAAAAACTGTCGACAAAATTGCATAGATATAATGACAATTAAAATAATTTGACAAATCCACTTTTGCTCATATAGAAGGCATCACATTGAACAAATTCACTTGATTTTTGTATAAATAATATATTAGATCTTCCATACATACACCAACTTGATATATATATAGCAGGTCAAGTGATGATCATAGTAGATAGGGCCATATAGATCCAAGATATAGATTAGTCAGTTACACACATGTATAGACATAGAGAATGCAGCCAATTCGTGAGCATCAAGGTCTTTAACAAGGGTAGGCTCATCAAACTGAATCCATGAAGCACCAGCTGCCTTCAGTTTAGAAACAACCTCCCTGTATTTCATAACATATCACATTATCAATTAACGAGGATCATGCTGAAAAAAAATTGTTGGCTTTTTGTGTGGATGCTTACTTGTAGATGGGAAGAATGCTACCAAGAAGTGAAAGAAGAGAGAAAGATTTCTCCACACCCTTGGCAGGCTTAGAGAGGAGCAAGTATGAGACTGGTCCAACAAGCACCGGGACTGTATCAATGCCGAGCTGCATGAGGTGCAAAATCATAAGTTTGCAGGCATTATTTTTCATAAAAGAAAATAGCATGCCCCTTCCTTTACAGGGTGAAAACCACAATCATATAAGAAAAAAAGCACTGCAGGGCATCCTATCATATTGCCATTATGCAACATTGAATGAGAAAATAGTTTTGTGGCGGTTATGTATTACTGTCAAGATGGCAAAATCAGTATGCTCCAAGATTGTCCATCTTTGACTTCAAATAAGGTTTGCAAAGACAGTGGGTTAACTTATAGTTTACTTCAATGTTATGGAATGTCTTGAAGGCATCAAACCAGTCAAGGATTCAAATAAGCCATAGGTTCAGTAGAGCTGAAGTTCTTTTATCAAAAGGAAGCGTGTTCTAAGCAAACAATATTTGTCAAATCGTAATCAAATAGCTGGGAGACATAAATATCGGTTGCTACATTTTTTCGTGTTACTAAACCGTGCAGCCACACAAACAAATTATGATGAGAAGGGTAAATGAACTAAATTACAAATAGCTGAGAGTATCTGTTGTTACAGCAACATACCGCCTTTGCCTCCTTGTACTCAGAGACAACCTTGTGTGAAGCGTATGTGAACTTGGTGCTTGGGCCAAGCTCAGGGACAATAAAGTGGCTGCAAAGAATAAGGTAATAAAAAATGTTAGACCAATACCACAAAAAAGCCACCAGAAGTAAGCATTCAAGAGACAGAAGTTTACTCACTAGTTTGTGTCAAACCACTTGGTCATCTCCATAGCAGGGACACTGGCATTTCCCCTTGCCATTCAGAAGTTGGTGTTCAAGCCAATCTCGCCTCCAGTCCAAGAGTAGCGCTCTGGGACAGCGCCAAGCATGGCCGTGGTATCAAGGACTAGGTTCACCATGATTCACCCATGTTATATATCCATCCGTAAATCATTGGGTTGTTCAACAAAAAAATAAAGATCTTGCCAAACAATTGTCCAAATTAAATCAATTTCACCACACTTGATGCTAAAAAAATCGTCTCACAACAAACCAACAACAGGAACTATTGGGGAAATTTAGTCCAATTTTTAGAATCTAAAATCATCACATCACAGATCACACACAATCTACAATGAAGACTAGAAGGCCAACTTGCTAAGTGATCTCCGACGTAAAGCGGGTCATTCTCCTGCACCACATCTAGTAAGAAGCAAGCAATGGTTAGTAGCACCTAAGCAAGATTTTAACGGAACAAGCATTTCATGCATAACACTTTTTTAGGGAAAAAACGTATAACAATAGAGCATTTAAAAATAACTTAGAACTGCATGGTGTTCTTGATGGAATCCAATACTGTAGATGGCAACAATATATAAAAATTGGTTCACGGTCCATTCCCAAGGACATAAAACTGGTGCTGCAGGCATCCTCTCCTGATGGCCTTTTACAGAAATACGAGGACTTCAATTGCTTATCAACAATCATAATTAACTTTTGTGTTAAAGCAATGGCAGCTCCCTGGTCACACACTAGATTTCCGTTACATGGAGCACATGTGGCAAAGATAACAGTGAGAGATGATGTTACAATTACACCGCCAAAAGGAGTAGCAACCGTCAACCAATTTATTAGTTCGTCCATGAAATCCGCATTCCACTCCTTGACGAAAAGCCACCCAACCCTAAATGGTGAAGATGTCAAAGCAACAACACCAAATGGTATTGTAATAAAACAAATGTTGCATCACCAAACACACAAGTATCGACTACTTGTCATGCACTTTCACCAAAGGACCTAAAAGAACAACTTCATGGTCTGATACACAAAACACATCATAATTATAGAAGTAAATTAAATAAACTAAGGGAGGAAGAGGTTGTCTTACGATCAAGTTAGGCAAGTCAACTTTCTCTGCCTCATTAAGCAGGATCAAAGCAGCCCATCCATGGAACATATACCTTATGAAAGCAACTTTTGTTAATGTTCTTAACAAATAAATTTGGAACTTTACAGAAATCCTCAGAAACATACCCACCATGTGCTTCAAACATAAGGCTCCCCAACAATACCACCTTCATAAGTTTGACAAGCTGTAGTCATATAGTATATCAATTGAGCAACATTCTAGAAAAGAACTGTGACCAAGCAACAATTTTTGCAACTGAAAAAATGCATTTTTATATAACACAAACAAAACCTTGCTATGAAGTCACCAACGCCTTTTGCCATTTCAACATCAAGAATATTCACAAGGTTTGGCAACCTAAGGTCAACATCGGGAAATATCAAGTAAGCGCAGAAAAATCGTGAAGGACCACAAGAAACTCACCGATATAGCGGTGTAGGAAGCACTGAACATCAATTTCACCACCATCATGCATTCTAGGGCAAGCGAAAAAATATGTGGCAGGCATCACCTTAGAAAGAGCTACAAATGAGAAAGTGGTCTCAGACATTATCCATGCCGATAGGTTGCGTGCACTGAAAGCACTGATACATCTTTCATCGAAACATAAACTTGTACAGGTTGTCCACGACCAACAAGGTTAACATTATTAACAAAAGAACTCATGTAAAGCAGATCTTACTTTAGAGCAACCATGAGATTTACCTATTGATTGATGACAGTGCTCTTTCACTCCCTATTGTCACAAGTGTATTTACGGCAGCATAAGTCGTAGCTAGGTGAGGAAACTGCAAAGGACGTGGACAAAAGAATGTCTTAAAAAACTACAATTTACCCTCTTGAATGACTCAACATAAATGAACTCAAACTAACTTTATAAATCAATAACAAACAAGATTTCTTGTTAAAAACTTATGCTAAATGAATGAGAAGGCTAAATCAAGCACCCAATAATGTCTTAAAAAGAAGTATATGATATCATTCTCAAGATCATCATCAAGTGCTTCATCTAGCAAAGCAAGTGGATGAACCATCCAGTAGCACAGCAAGGGCGACTGAAACCAATCACCTGCACAAAGGGGAAAAGGTGGAGGGAGAGAGGATCTAGGGGAGGAGTTAGGAGATCGAGGAGGAGAGGAAGAGGGTGACGTACCGCCAGATTCAGTGGGCGAGGTAAGGCGCCACCACCGCCAGCGATGATGAGGCCACGCACAGGCTTGGTCGGCCGGCCTACGCCGGTCGTGGCTCGCAATGCATCCGGCATCATTGAGATGAGGCAGCTAGGGTTTCGTCGACCATAGTAGCATAGGCAGATCGGTGGAAGGAGGCAGCGCCGGGTGGCACCCGTGCTAGCAGCCACCGGCGGGCCCCAAGCGCGTCATCGAGTAGGGGGCGCTGTCGGCCATGGCCGGGGTGGCCACCCTCCGCACCAGCACAACACCCGATGTGAGGAGGGTGTGGAGAAGGAGGAGGAGGAGGAGGAGGTGGGGGAGGAGGAGGAGGAGGGCAGCCGCCACCGCGTTGAGGGCCGGCGCTGCCGAGGTGCGGTGGCGCCGCCATGGCCATGTCGGGAGAGCTGGGGAGGGAGAGAGAGCGCTACGGGAAAGGAAGAGACGGAAAGGGGGGGAGAGAGAGGAGGGGAGGAGATATTTTTACACAGTGCGGTTACTCCTTGGCCGACACTTGCACAGTTGCCCTGTATAGGCTACGCCAACACTTTCTAAGTCTTCTAATTTTTGCCGACACTTTTTCTGCCAGCAGAGAAACGCCGACAGATAATTTGTAGTCTTACAGTCTTATTGCCGACAGATGATTAGACATTAAAACGATATGCAATTGCCAACACATAATATGTCATCCAAACCTGCCTTTTGCCAACACATAAGTGTAGGCAAATGTGTGTCATGGTGTAGTGACGCGCGCGCTCCCACTGTACGCGATGGCACCCGAGGCGTTGTTCCATGGAACAGTGCTTGCCGAGGGGGCGCTCTCCAACTCCGAGATCGTGCAACGCATCAAGGAGGTGATGGAGCCTTCGTGGGATGACACCGGCGCCCCCCTCGACTTCATCTATCCGGTGCCGGGACATCCTTCAATGTGGCCGGAGCCAGGGCACGTCATCTTTGTAAGTTCCCCCTTTCTTATACCTCCTTTTTAATTGATTTCCTGACCTCTTGATACTAACTTTGAGAGGGGCGAAACCAGCCGAGGGACCTCATCTTCCTAGATCACCTAGCGCCGTTGCTGAGGGATTCGTCTGTGAGGGCGGCGAATCGCACCGAGGGTGAGCGGCGGCGGAAGGCGAAGGAGGTCAAGAAGAACAAGAAGCAGTGGAAGCTGTAGACCCGAGACTGAGGGGAGGACACCGACAGCGATGACGACGATGACAATGGCGATGATGAGGTAGCCAACGATGTCAAGTGGGACATCCTAATAGGTATTGGTTCATCCTTGTAGGAGTCGCGACCCTTTCTGTTCCACAGAGGGGAGGGTATGTCCGGGGAGCCAACGGAGGTGGGACGTACCATCAGTCTCCCTCAGGAGTCGACATGAGTGAACGGCTCTGCCGCTACGCCTGAGATACCGGCGGAGGGGGCCGGCTCTGCTACCATGCCCCAAGAGTCAAGGGGAGCGAGCCCCTCTGTCCAGGAGCTAGGGGCGGGCTCAAAACAGCCTCGCCCTGGCGAGGCAGAGCAGAGGTCCGGGGGTTCGCCCCCTAAATGTATCTACCGCCTGACGGCGCTGAGGTATGTTACCAGTTCCCCTGTTTTTCTCTATTTTTTGATGGATTTCATCGTGACTTATGCTTCTCGTCTTTTTGTAGCGTCGGGAGGCAGCATAATCCTTTGGCGCTGGCACCAAAGAAGAGCATTGCCCTTCAAGCGAGGGGGCAGCTATCGGCTGGTGCCGCGCCCATTTCGGGCGGGAGTGGCACCAGTGCAACCGCACCTCCGGCTGAACAGGCGCTACCCACGGTGGCACCTGTGCCCTCGGCAGGATGGGCGGATGTGGGGGCCCAAGGGGCGCCTTCGAAGGTCACCGAGCAGCCAGCGATGGCGGTGACACCACTGCCAACGACGGGGCGGATGGGTCTACCGATCACGCTCGTGGCACCGATCGTGGTGGGTGCAACGCAGCCGGTTGTGACCCCACCAATGCAGGTGGAGGTGACGGCGGCTGTGATAGGTGGGTCACAGCCAAGCGCTATCGTGGTGGCCCCTGAGGTATTGGCACGAGTCGCGCCATCGGTAGCCTAGGCGATGGAGTCTGGCGTGGGCCGGACAGAGGGGGATGTGGCCGTGGTGTCCCTAGACATCGTGGTGTTGGGAGAGAGGTCGGCGCTCATACCGTTAACCCCCTCCATCGCTGGAGGGGGCATCCAAGTGGGAACATCATGGCAAGAGGGCTCGGTGGTGCTTGGAGCTAGCGGGGAGTCGTCTCTGGCCCTAACATTAGTGGGTGGTGACTCGCCTGCGTGGGGCGAGCCGCTGCTCCAGTGGACAAATCCACAGGATCCGGCATCGACACTCTTTACCCTCGACACCGCCGCCAAGAGCATGGAGCGAGAGAGCCTCGACGTGGGAGTCGTGTCCGTGATCGAAGCCCTGGACCATGCCCAGGGTGCCTTGGCCAACGTTGTCGTTCCCGCTGGCTGGGTATTTGCTTGATCCTTCTTCTCGCCCTTTCCTTTCTCTGCATATTTTTGTATTCTGACCATCGTCTTCTTTCAGTCCCTCATCGCTCATAGCTGGGGGAAGTCATGGTTCCTTCATGAGTAGAAGGAAACCTAGGACTGCCTTATCGAGGAGGCATGGCTACATGGGGAGGTGATGTCTCAACTTGTTGCCGCCCAGCAGAAGGTCGTTGAGCCGACTCCCCTTG